AGAGAGAGAGAGAGAGAGAGAGAGAGAGAGAGAGAGAGAGAGAGAGAGAGAGAGAGAGAGAGAGAGAGAGAGAGAGAGAGTCCAAAACGATTTGCTAAAGAAAATGAGAAACCGTAATTACCTAAGCAAGGTTCGTCGTTCTCATGCATCCTCATCTGGCAGGCAGTCGCGTTGAGATCCCGATCAGCGGAGCATTGTGCTCGCACGTGACATGAACGTCGTCGGCAGTAGTTTGAGTCCTTCAACCTCACCCTCCTCCCTCTGCTGCGCGCCGATTCGGTGCAACGGTGTGGTATGGTGACGACGGGGCCATGGCACCGAGAGAGAGAAACGAGAACGCGAAAAAAAAAAACAAAAAAAAACGCCGGGGCTGTCGATCCGCTCGCTCGGCAATCCAGCAGCAGGACCCAGGCTTTTTTTTTTTTTTTGAGTAAGAAAAGGCAGCCCCTGCGGTCGCTAGAGGTGTAGCAAAAAAATAAAAAAAATAAAAAAATAAAAAAATAAAAAAATAGAGGTGCTGGTAGCAGGCAGTGCCGAGCACCTGTCATAGGACCACAGGGCAATCAATGCTAGCAGGCGGCAGTGCGCATCAGCTTATTAGATATCCTCACTATATCGGACCGGACGCTGGACCCGTTTTCCGGCAGGTGATGTGATGGCACCCACCAAATGATGGGGCCTTCCCTACGTAGGGCCCACGCATACTGACAACGGTGACAAGGGCTGTTTTTTTTTTTTGACGTTTGAGGCCCAATGGTAAGGCCAAGAGAAGCACACGATTGGCAGAGAAGTATGTTGTTGACATCATCAACAAATTGCTTTTCTGCCGGCTGTCGGAATGCGGCGGCCTCACGCTCGGTCGAGATGGGCGCTCTCTCGACTTTCCTCTCTCTCTCTTTCTCTCTGTTTGCGTGTGCGCCCGCATGCTCATCTATAGTCGTTGCGTGTTTTGGTGCGGAAGTTCCCTTGTTGGCCTGTTCCCTCATTTGCAGAGCGAGCGATACTTTGCCGACTGTTCGCCACGCAATCAGGTGATCGATCACTGTATTCCCTCCAACTGTCTCAGCTTTCGAATGCAAGTGTGTGTGTGTGTGTGTGTGTGTGTGTGTGTGTGTGTGTGTGTGTGTGTGTGTGT